AGTTTAGTATATTATCGCTCTTCTCAATAGAAAAGGTTTTCAAAATTAGTAGAAAGTATGTTTTCCCATTATAATATATCAAGCATGAACTATAATCAGAATATATATAACTCAAAAGTCCCTGCTTTAGTTTCGGACAAATTTCTTCGAGAAACAAATCATTTACATGTATCTATTTATTTCACATGTACAAACGAGGGTTGGATACAAAACAAACCCCGAAGATCTAAAACTCTCAGCTCAATTCAAAATCAACCATGATGAAAACTTTCAGAAACCAAAATTGAAATCCAAAATAGAAACTACACGTAAAACCCCAAAAAGAAAAAAGAGTATGCTGGTGTACTTTCTGCTTAATAATTTGCTAGCTAGCTAGAACTCTGCGAATTGAGCAACCCATTAATGGAATTGTTGCATTCAAACAGGGCCTTAGCGGTCATCTCCCTCTCAAACCTGCAAATATAATTCAATCCCACGAGCAGCTCAGTTATGGCAGCTTCAGTCTTGTCCTTGTTTGCAAAAAACAGAGTTTGAAGAAGCATGACGTTTGTTTTAGGCACCAAGTTTTGTTGCTCAAAGCTCCTCTCACTTTGCCACTTTATCATATTATGTGCCAATGGAGACAACCACCCCAAGATTCTCCCCAGAGCCTCCCTCCACTCTCCGGCCAGCACCGGATCACTCGCCGAAAACCCAACTCCTCTCAATCGAGCCCTCAACGACGATCGGATGCTACTCGGTAGCATCGAATATAAATCGTCCCTCGCATCCACACCAACCATTTGTGGAAACTTGATCATCTTCTCCATCACTATGATCAAGTTGGCGTAGTGAAGCGCCAAAGCCGCCGCGCCTAAAGTACTTGGTGGAGGCTTTAGGAGCTTCGAGTTGGACTCGAAAAACGCAATATTTTCCAAATCTTTGAGATTATCAATGACATTCTCTTGATGATGATGAGATTTTGCGGGCTTCAATGGCCCGGACACGAAACGACACGTCGTCTGATCGGATGGGTAGACGGTTGCGGAAGCTGAAAGACTGCGAGGCAAAGACGACGGCGGGCATTGTCCTATGCCAAAAACAAGCTTTGTCCTCGCAAGAACAGTGAAAATGGACCTCGCAAGAACCCAAGTGACCGTATCGAAGCTTCGGCTCCACAAAGATCTGTCCTTTAAATACTTCACCTCTTGCCTCTGCCACACGATCTTCTGCTGGAGATCGACGATCTTCTGCTCTTTGCTGCTCATCGAAGACGACGATTGATTGGTCTCGCACTCATTGTATTTCCATGCTTTGCTCAGCCCGCTTTCGAGCACAGAAAGCTCGTCCATCTCTCTGTACAGAGTGGACGTCACGGTGACGTACCTCTCGAGTTTCTTGACGTTTTTAGTATCCATTTCCTTAAACCCGATTACCCAATTGTGCGGATCGCGACCCGAGTCGGCGAAGTCGAGGAAGAGGCGGTGGAAGGCTCGAAGGTTGGGGTCCTGGCATTTGGTGCTTAGGCTGGAGATGGCGGTGGCGAGGAGGCGGAGATTCTCGACGAGCTCGGCGCAGGCGAGAGAGAGGAGGAAAGCGTCGTCGTTTGAGACAATTTTGCGAACACCTTCGAGGGAGATGGAGTCGTTGTGGAGGCGGATCATGTTCTTGTCGGAGAGGGCCTGCCAGAGGTGGATGAGCTTGGACATGAGGCCGGCGATCTCGAAGGCCAAAACGCCGACGTTTGATTTGCGTATGGGTTTGTTTGGGTGCGGGTGGGTTGAGGTCCGCACAGCGTCGAAGCTGTGGGATATGGCTGTCTTTACCTTGAGTAGCAAAGTCTCAAGTGCCATGTGAATTAAACAAAATGTTCAAATTCAAAGAAGAAGAGGAAGAAGGTATAATTGAAACGTGGGAGTTGCAGAGAGAGAGAGAGAGAGAGAGAGAGGACAAGGATAATGGGAATAATGGGAATAATGGAGGGAGGTGGAAGATGAAGAAGAAGAAGAAGAAGTGCAGCTCAGCAGCTAAGCTTTGTAAATGTAAATTAAGCTCGTGGGGGTGTTGTGGGCGTTACATATAGCTCTAATAATAAAATTATGAAAATATGAAAAATAAATAAATAACCAAAATAAAATGGCATGCCCAAATGCACTGAGAACGCGTGGTTCATTTCTTAGCTAAAGCATTGGGTTGTCTTTTCCGGTTGAAGCCTCAGACGCGCGTTTTTATGAATTAAATTCAGCCTTTTGTTTGTTTTTTGGTAATATAATTATTTATTTATTTTTGCGATGGCAGTCGGTAAGAGAAAATGTTTATGGGGGTGTTTGGATGCGGAAAATACTTTTTTCTTAGATGCTGTTTGTTTTTGTAAAATGGAGGAGGGCCATGCCATTATTGGTTTTTTCCTTTTGATTGTTGCGAGGATTAGAATAGAAACTTTCTCACGAATTGATTTGTGTTGGCGTGTATTATTAATTGATCCAGCAACTTTTAACTCAAGGACGAAAGAAAGATACGTGTCCAATGTTAAAGTTCCAATTTAACAAGGAAAAGAAACAGTTTTAAAAAGGTAATCAGCATCTCCCAAACTCCATGTTGATCCAAAATTAATAATTTATGTTTTAGTTACTAATTACCATAATTTCAAATTAATAAGATGGAAAAAATGGGCCCGGTCTTAGCTGATTGAATGAAGCACGAAATATTACTCTAACAAGGGAGAAAGAATACAACGATAGTATGGTCACACGTGATATATCTTGTACACATAACATTTGCACTCAGAAAACATAGCTTAAAATAGGATACTTTGTTTTTTAGGTGTGATTAGATTGTAGCTAGCTAATAGTAGTGATATTTCTAAGTGCACCCTTTAACCCTAAAAAAGGTTATTGTAGTTAGAATTCAGCCAAGGGCAAGCGAAAGCAGGCTTTTAATTTATAAGTCGACCAAGGGTCAGGGTTGACTTGGAAGAGAGGCACTTGTGGTGGAGGAGATGCTAGCTGCACCATCTGTCTAAGCTTATAAGTTATGGGCAGCAAAAAGATAATGCAATTTTTGGGAGTACAGCAAATGGAGAATATTACGAATTAAAAAAGGGAAAAAAGAAGGCACACTAAGGTTACTCATTCATATCACATGGTTAGCGCGCGGCAAGAGTGGTGTTCTTGGCTTGTTGGGTTGGTGGAGTTGGGGGTTACTATAAAAAATTCAAAGAATTGGGGGGAGAGAGAGAGAGAGGGTTTTGCAATATTACATGATGTTCAAAGGTTGTTTCTTTTTTACTTTGGCTTAGCTTTTGCCTACCAATGGAACGGCAGAGACGATTTCCTTTTGTTTACTTGTCGGAAAATGAACAGCCAAAACCATCACCCCTTCCTACGTCTCCATGTCTTGAATAAAGTGCCTGCCTCTCTCTCTCTCTCTCTCTCTCTCTCTCTCTCTCTCTAAACACATAGTTACAACAAGTGCATGTTGTTCTATTATAATCTCCATCCTGTCACAGATCCAAAAGGGGCATTGCCAACTGCCAAGTTGTGTGCTATTTCATTCTGCAATTTTTTTTCTTCTTTTTTTCTCATAGGGTATTGGGTAGAAGGGTTGACAATATCCATACATATAAATTTCATAGTTTATATATAGAATGGAATGGTGAAGAGCTTTCCATTGTTATTGTATGCACTGCGGGGGTTTTAAGATGATATGAAATTGAGGGAACCATATATATATATGCACCATTTGTTAAAGGCAAACACCTTTTTTCTTGTCTTTTTGTCTGTTTCGTTGCTAAAATCCAGAGGCAACGGGATTTGCAGTGATGAATAAGATCAGAAAAACTCAGCAATACGCACTGCTTGTTTTGTTTTGATGGAAAGCTAGCTTTTCAAGAATTGTTGGAAAAGGAAGCCCCCCAAAGTACTAGCTCCCAGCCCAGCATATTCTTGGTCATGCATGGCAGGACCAACACTTGGCAACATGTGATTGGCTAATTTGTTGAAAACTAGATCCAGTCAACAAGCAGATTAATTAAACAGCTCCATCGTAACCCCAAATCTGATAGTGTTCTTATAAGTTAAAATGATTACAATTAATTGGTCAAACAAGCAAGCAGTGATCCAAGTTGCAAATATCCAAGATTGTGATTGATCAGATATAATTAATATAAATACAATAGATTAAGAAGAAGAAGGTTTTTGACATGCAGCAGATGTCGTTTTGTTATGAATTCAATGAACCAATCTGCAAAACTCAAAGAAGATCTTAGATTCTATCTATCTGCTGCCGACTAAGCTGAAAAAGATGGGAACATGCAAATACGTACAATCTATAGTAACATGCATGCACTTGCTGCTGGCTAGTCAAATGCGTCGAGGAAGTTTGTTTGAAATTAATGTTCCATGATCGACTTTATTTCTAACATAATTGAAATTAAAGTAACAAACAACATATATATGTAAATTTGAAGTCTTTAATAATCCGAAACAGGCAGCACTACATCTGCATGGGAGACAACTTAATATTGAAATCTGTATAATATAATGCAAGATGACTAACAGTAGTTTAGGGTTGCAGGGGTCCAATTAGTTTCATTATGCTAGCTATAGCGAAAAAGAAAGAATGAAAGCCAAAATCTCACCTCACCTCTCACCTTTGGTCATTGTCAAAGCACACAAACACAAGACGTACACAACTTATAATGTTGAGAGAGAGAGAGAGAGAGAGAGAGAGAGAGAGAGAGAGAATATTAAAATATTTGATGATAATCAAGTGTGTTGCATCATGCGGAGTTTTAATCTGATTTCCAAGGCCCCCAAAGGGGAGTGTGGCTAGAGCTAGCATGCTGGCTATGCTTTGCACGCTGCCACGCAAACCACCCAAACATCATTCAAGAAAGAAATCATGATCATCATGGATATATGGTCAGAGCAGCTTATAAGTCTAAGTGGGTGCATTTTAATTAATTTACATATAATGGGTTTTGGTGCCATCATCCATCTAATTCTAAGTGGTGGGTGATGTTATATACCACCAAAGGCTAACATACATAGTTTCTTCCACTTGCCAAGTATAAAGGGGTTGGAAATTTTGGATAATATGTGTCCTTTCAGTTGAAGGGCGCATGATGGAAGCATCTAAGCCACACTTGTCTGAGTGAGTCAAAGTGTGATATAATTTCTAAATTACTATGATTGGTTTGACTTATATTACACGCATGCATATATATATATATATATATATGTGTATGTATGTGATTGGATTTGAATGAATATTTAGTGCAAGTCTCATTCTATCTAAAATTCGATAGGAATAATGACATGAAATCCATTTTTACTTAATTGGGTAATTTCGGACAAGGGTTTTTTTGACTCGCAAAAAGTTAGAGAGTTGAGGGTTAGATTTCTTCAGCTCCAAACGACATTATACTGTGGTTTAGCCCCAAAACGAGGGATGGAAAGGTGAGATATGCTAATGAACCAAACGACAATGTAAAACCATTGTTTCATTTTCCTCTCAATCACTGCCATGGCCCGTGCTGTTTTGAATGTTCCCCGTGGTTCCAGAAACAACACCCCTCCGTTGCTGTTTTGTTCACCGTCATCAATGGGGGGGGGACCTGTCGTTTTGACAGTGAAGGAGAGTAAAAGAGACCAGGCCAAAATAATTAAAAAGGTAAAGATAAAAGGGGAAATCAAAAGCTAATTTGGGTTTTGTCTTTGTGGCAAGAAGCAGTGAATGAGGATAGGGTGGCCAAGTTTTGATTTGGGAAGAGACCAAGAGTAGCGCACCATGGCTTTTGGACTTTGGAATTGGACCCCATGTGCATGTAGAGAGCAGAAATTCAAAGTCCTCTTTGAAAAAGAAAGAATGAAAGCCAAAATCTCACCTCACCTCTCACCTTTGGTCATTGTCAAAGCACACAAACACAAGACGTACACAACTTATAATGTTGAGAGAGAGAGAGAGAGAGAGAGAGAGAGAGAGAGAAGAGAGAGAGAGAGAGAGAGAGAGCTCAATTGATGATATTCATATTTGATAGGGACCTCAAAACATTAGTCATTAGTGTGCATTGGTAAGATTCCACCTCTAGAAAATTTAAGTGACAAAAGATTGAAGAAATTGAATTAAAAAATTAAGTTTAAACATACAGAAAGAGATAAGAAAAGTGGTGGATGTATTGCGCATGAGAGGGGACACTCTATGGCCTCTCTCATTCATCGCAGTCGAAGGGCTTGTGTTGTGCTTTAGCTTGACATTCTTTGCAGCCAATGGTCCCATGCATGCATAAACACCACATGCACTTTAGACTTTAGAAACCTCCGTCCCTCCCTCACACTTAATTAGATGCTCTTCTTTCTTCTTCTTCTTCTCTCTCTCTCTCTCTCTCTCTTTTGTTTTCATTCATTCCCTTTGCCCAAAGAGATGGATAGAATTATGTGCACGTGAGTCATCATTCTAAATTTCTATTGTACATGAATGAATGCATCATGGAGAGGGAGGGAGAGAGAGAGTGCGTGTGTGTTGTTGGACACCCCACTTCATTATTTTGGTCATTTTGTGTCTCCATTTGGCATTGTGTCAAAGTAAAAAAGTAAAAATCATTAACTCGTATTTGCCTTTTTCTTTACCTCGTGCAATTACCCTTTTCATATTCCTTCATTAGCCCTACTCTTTTCTTTTCCTTTGTAGGGGAAGGAGGTTTGTTTTTAACCAAGCAGTCACGAATTCTTTAGTTTGTAAATTGTAATTAGCATTCCTGCATGGAGTACTTTAGCTTGAATTTGGAAAAGTATTATTAACACATCGGAATCGTATGAGTTTATGCACTAAGGACTGGACTGGACAAGACTGCTCGAAATTAACCAGTAAAGATACGTTTCACCACATTTAAATGCAGATTTACTCTTTAAGGGGCCGTTTGGTTCATGGGAAATGAGGCATAGGAATGGGAATTCAATTGCTTTCCCATGTTTGGTAAGTCCGGGAATGGGAAACGGATTCCTGGCACATGGGAAAGTAGGGGGGAAAGTGATGCCTCCCTCTTAACTTGGGTTTT